AATGAGAAAAACGCCCTATTTTTCACGAGTGGCCATTGAAGAATATCAGGAAATTTTATCTGCCTAACAAAGACCAAACAGATATTTATCCGACTACAAACCACCACCGACATTTCGATCCAATAATCGACCAGTTACTGCTGAAAAGAACCATTAACTTTGCGCTGATAAAGGTGAATGAAATTTCGATAGCCCTTTCACCACTTGATCAAGAGAATTTGAATTGCTCAGCAGCTGGAATGCTGTGCGATTCACTGATATGTCGCCTCGTGCTCGGGCAGATGCTATGTCAGTATGACGCATACGGATTTCATACTTATCTTGGACTCAACTCTGCAAGTACATAAGAGACTCAGTCACTTTCCAAGAGGGATAAGAAATACTCCACTGACCGTTGGCAGATCGAAGACTAATGACCTGTTGACAATTGGTTCAAGCCATGGTGGACGAAGACTCTAACCCTAAAGCAATCATCATTAAATTGTTTTATTTGCATGAGTTTGCACATGGTTTTTTGTAGGCTATTTGTTGTTTTCGATTTCTGAAGGAGCTCTAAGACTGCTGCTTCTTTCCACGCACCTTACCAAACAATACTTGATACTCTGGAAATTGAATACTCTTGTCGTCTGTGTAACTTGAAGCCTAATTCTATAAATTCGCCAAGATATCTGTTGTTCAGCACGAAAGTTTGATTAGCAAGGAAAGAAAAGCCAAACTAGCAACAGATTGCTTCCTCTTAGATGTCCTGCGACCGAAAAAACCAAGTGAACTTTCCAAATTATGTACACGTTTCCTATGCAAATATCTTGGAAGAGGTGTGAATCGTTCACATAATTCACTACAAAAATACGTACCTTCGTAAAGCAAGACTTTAAAGGTGACACATGGCAAAAAAGGTTAAGTTGAGGGACTTAACGCAGGCCTTAATGACTTTGACCAAATAGCCACATACTAAAGATTAAAAACATTAGTTCAAAGCAAAACTTAAAAAATAAAATAAAGCCGGAGCCGTCGTACAAACCTGAACAATTAGCCATTCAAGAAGTAAAATTTTCATAGCTTTTGCTGACCTAACGTAACTTCGGAAAGATTAACGACGCTAAGCTGCGAAACGGCTGGTTCTCACTAAAATTAAGTCCATGGATTTACTTCTTTATTGCAATATCAATTTCATCATTTCATTTCACCTTTACTTTAATCGTGACTATAAATTACTCAAGTAGTAAAATTAGTGATTAACGAGATATTTCTTTTAACAAAATCGAACAAGAAATAAAAACGATTGTCAGTCAAGCGAATAACAGAAAACTGTCGACAGTTCTAAAGAGCCAACAGGTCATTATGACAATCAAAAATGTTATTTCCCTGTTCAGAGAATCAATGACATCAATTTATAAAAGAAAAGCCGGTTGAAACTTAGGGCAACGCTTTCAAAACAAAAATCCGATCTTCACCGTCGGAACGACCCGAAGCTTCATTCGATAAACCCCCTAAAGGGAGAGCGGACGCTCCTGTCAAAGACAAATTTTGCTGTGTTATTCACCTTGTCATTGACATCCATGTTTGCCTTATGGTCATGAATAATCTGTTTTACTTCAAGTATGCAAAACAGGAATCATATGGATCAAGTGCACTAGAATACTAGGGTGCTTAAAGAAAATACCGTCTTTTCGTTTTTCACTCAGTGAGCTGCTTTCAATGATTTACATAGATAAAGTAAGGTCCAGCAGTGGAAAAAATAAAAATACTTCTCTTGAACTCATATCAGTACCAGCAGAGTACCCATACTCTAGATGCATCTTCATGACTAGCAGCGCGGAGGACAAAATATCTTTAAAAAAATATACAAATATCCTACGTAATTATTTTTGGCAATTACTGGGTCAACGAAGAGCATCTCTGATCATCGAAAAACCGCAACGACGTTCGTTCATGACGTTACGATAATAACAGTAAACATCTACTTCTTATCAATGAAGTACACACCTCAGGATTAGAAAGTTGGGAGAAGCAGCGCGTTGAAGCTGGCTCTTCAGTTTGGCGTGCAGTGCTCGAATCCAGCGTGAGGTAGAATTTCTTTAATCATCATCAATTTCTTTAAGCCGCTGCTGGGTGAAAGCTTTTCCACGACTGCGACATAAAGCTTCTCTTCAATTGTTATTCATCTTGTCCAATGAATTTCTTCAGCTCATCCTACCACCGAACTGGAATTCTTTATATGGGCTACTTGACACCTCTCTTAGAATTCAGTCTAATGTCTCTCGTCCAGCTGTGGTCGGTTCTTCTTGGAACGTGTCCTGCAGCTGCAATGTCTTCTTTACTTGGGCACACTATTACACGTCACTCCGGCAATGAAACGGCACACTACCGTTTTTACTCTTGCCATGTACTTGTCTTCATAATGTACATCTTTGCATGCTGTACAGCGTAGTCTGCAGTTTATGAATAGCTTTCAGGCTTAGGGGCGACATGTCACACCAGTTAGTATGAAGTTAGCACTGAAAGCACACACAGATCGAAAAACTTTCCTCTTGAAGAGAAGGGTAGTCTCCCGGCTAAGAACATTCTCCATCTACCAAACACACTTCACGCCATTTTTATAAATCGGTTGCAAAATTTCTCTATTAAGTGAAACTTTCATTGAGCAAGGAATTCAGCCCAAGTGTATCGACACAACCCGCTGAGAAACGGAGAGAAATTCGGTCACCTACCATGACATGGAAAGCATGGTGCTCTGACGGTTAATTGCAATGCTGTCGAAAGTACCAGTTCTAACGGTTAGACATCATGAAATTGGTTTACTCTGATCCTTAAACTCTGATAGCTACAGATGGCCATGATACGACAACGGTAGTACTGTCTGGTGCCTAAACTGTATGGCTACCACTCACCTCGATTGCTGACCGAAACAGCACCAGGAGTAACGCGCAAATTAACACACAAATAAAAATAATGCGCGACAGGAAAAACCATTTTCATGATTATAGACATATATATATGTAAAATAAGATAATTTATTGGCTGGAGATTTTTGGGTTTACACCTTGTGTGATAATTATCGCACTGGATAGTCAACCATCAGAGGGGTCATCAACTACGAACAAGGTCTTCTGACGAGGTCAGGCAGTACTTACTGGTGTGTGCGCCTTGTACTGAATTTCGCCTTGACCCATTTGACCTGCTGACTCAAAATAAGCCTCCAGTGTCACCCATAAACTTAAAAAAATTAACACCATTTAAAACGATAATGATCGTCATCGTAGACTGGTTAGACATTACAAGTGCAACAAGTTCTTGAAATAATCAAGATGCAGACCGTGTTACGGACAACTCTGGTTCGGCTTTGTCAAACTACCTCTACATCAGCATAACGATTTGACAGTTATAAA